TCCTCTCCTTTCCGACTAGCTTTGTGTACAATGGATTTAGTACTTCCATTTGTAAAACAATGACACTGGGTCTTTCTCTTCTTCCTTGGGTTCAGCTACTCCCTCGGTAGGACAACGGAGCATTAAAGGAGGCCCAGGCATGCCATTTAATGTAACCCAATTAGAATTTTAATTTCTTAGCAAAAACAACCTCATCAGGAAACTGACTACAAACTAAATATAGGAGGAGCACCTGGGAGAAGGAACATTACCACCCCAGATTCCTCAAAAGGTTCCCAGCTGGAATGCTTTCATTGCTTTTCTTTCAATCTGCACTACAGCCCGGATTTATTGGACAGTATTCTGCCTCTAATTGCAAGCCGCCTGAAAGCAGGGACGCCACCAAGGCCATCTTTGCCCCCTGCTCCTCCCACACTGAACACGACACTCTCACAAAGTAGACGCTCTATTTCTCATTTAAGTATTCACTGGACACCTTTCATAGCACTTGTCGCACACAGTAGCAGGCTCTGGAGATTCAGCCTGGCTTGTTTTGCCCAGTGGCAGATAAAAGTGAAACATGCAAACACAGAGCTACTACCCAACTGGACCACAGGAATGTTGTCTTTTGCACCTTGGTGGCACTTTTTAATTAAATCTGCATAGGAATTAAGTGACAGAAGCCAAAATGACAGAAGGCTCACTGCTCCTGAGAAGTTTCCAGAATGAGCTCCCGCCTGGATGCAAAAAGGGCTTTCCTGCTGCGTGTGCCACAGGGCCCTGCTGCAAAGTGCAGGTTTGCTCGCCTCCCCTTTCCAAGTTCTTCCTGCTATTCTGTGAAATATTTCATTTCTCCTTCTGCGCCTTCTGTGTCCTCTACTCAGAGAACATTACATGCCAAAGAGGCACTTCAGTAACTCCTTTCTGAGGTGAATAGCAGCGTTTCAGAATCTAGAACAACGGACCTAAAATTAAATGGGCTTAGGTTACCTAAAGAGCCCCTAATTGCTTGCTATTTTAATAGACTGGTATTGGTTTTAATGAGTCATTTTTAAAAAGTGGAGCGCACATCAAGAGCTGAGGAACAGTTTTGGCTGAAGGGACATGGTTGCTGATAGCGGTGGCGGAGGCAGAACACTTCAACCTGAGAGAACTATCTTCTTGTATTTTAATAGATTGTATCTCCACATTTTAAAAATTTTGAAGTCATCCGGGGGCCTCCCTTCCAGCATTTCCTCTCTTCATGTTTATGAGACTGACAGGTTCATTCTGCTAAAAGTTCAGAGGACTATAGGTCACGATGCAGATTTTTCTCAAATTCAAAGAGTTCACTGTACAGAACTGGGTCTCATTCAATGATGACGTTAGAAATTCTAGGCAACTTAAAAAGTAAACTTTAAGGATCCTTCTATGTTGGTTAAACACAAATCAAAGAAAAAGATCACTAGGTCAAAAGTGCTTAGGTGATAGTTATGCCTAAGACCAATTAAATCAGAAGCAGCTAGCAAAAGTGGTGTTTCCAGCTCTGCCTTTGGGCACAGGTTATTAACACACTGACTGCCACACTAGGAAAAATAATGTTTCCCTTTGGGGCCCTGGTGTTTTATCATGGGGTTCCCAAGGTAGAGGTGTGTGAGTTATATACACTTCACGAGGCCCCAAGCTCAAAACTAACCTGAGTTACATAAGTACCACATGCTAACCATGGTGCCACTGGATGCCATAACTAGCATGAGTTAAATACAATTTACACAGCAATTAATGTGTTAAACTCAGATTCATAATCCTAATAGAGGAGACCCATGAAACCTGGTGCTATTTTAGGTATACGGACCTACATACATAAAATACAGTATAAATGAATACAGGTCTGTATATGTTCACATGTATGTCTCCTGGAGTACGGTCCATAGTGGGAGTGATTCTCAGACATCCACCAATCTGGATTTGTTTTCTTCCTTCCCTGCTTCTATCCTTCCTTTTGTTCCCCTGCAATCTCCTCATGCAAGCCTAAGGCTATAACAGTTCTCAGCAAGATCTTTAGCAAATGAACACCTTCTGTGGGATTAAGGACTTTTTTTTTTTTTTTTTTTTTT